CCATCGCGCACCCTCTCGGGATCATTGCCCTGCTCGACATCCGATTGTGCGAATAGATAAGAGATCTGCGCCATGGGATGGGAGGGAGGGGTAGGACCGACGTCAGATGTGACGCTAGCGTACCTAGCTTGCCTCCCTCCCCTCCCCTCCCCCCCCCTCCCCTCCCCTCCCTCCCTCCCTCCCTCTGCCTCCCCCTCTGCCTCCCTCTCCCGTCCCCTCCCCCCTCCCTCCCCTCCCCCCTCCCGCCCCTTCCCCCCTCCCACCCCTCTCCGCCCCACTCCCTCTCCCCCCCCCTCCCTCCCCTGCCCCCCTCCCCTGCCCCTCCCCCCCCTCCCCTTCCCCCCCTCCCTCCCCCCTCCCCACCCCCCCCCCTCCTCACCCCCTCCCGTCCCCTCCCCCTCCCTCCCTCCCTCCCCCCCCCTCCCCCCCTCTCTCCCCCCTCCCCCCACTGCCTCCCACTCCCTCCCCCACTGCCTCCCACAACGACATGCACTCGGCCCGCCGCCGCACCCACTCGGGGAAGGGGGGGGGGGCCGTGGAGGCCCCGGCTGCCCGAGACTTCGGTCGGGCATGTCCCCCGACCGGCGGAGTTTGGATTTTGGGAGAAAAATGGAAAAAAAAAAAAAAAAAAAAAAAAAAAAAAAAAAAAAAAAAAAAAAAAAAAAAAAAAAAAAAAAAAAAAAAAAAAAAAAAAAAAAAAAGTCCAAAAGTACACCAAGAAAAATGATCCCGAAATCCCCGACTCCACCCGAGGCGTCCCTGGAGAACGGCCGGGGCCCCAGAGCCGCGCGGGCGCCCCAGATGCCGCGGCGCGCGCGGCCGTCGAGGCGCGAGGCGCGAGGCGTTCGGGCGCCTCCGTCGGCTCGCGGCGGCCTTCTGGCCTCGGGACGCTCGCCAGCAGCTGCGCCTCGCCGGGGGCGCTCCCGGGGCTGCCCGGATCGTCCCGAAGGGCCGCCGGAGGCCCGAGTGAGGATCCCAAACAAAAAAAAAAACTGGTTCGGCGGCGCGCCCAGGGGGGAAGTGAGAGGGAGACGGCCTTCTCAGAAGGCGGCGGGGCTTCTCAGAGGCCCTCGCGCCCTCTGAGGAGCTTTCCGCGCCTTCGGGGAAGGCTCCGAGGACTTCCCAGAGGGCCGGGGGACTTCCGAGCCTTCTGCGAAGGCCTTCTCCTTCTCACTTCCCCCCCAGGCTCGCCGCCGACAAATCCCCACGGGCTCACCACACGGTGCGGTCGCCGCACAGTTTGGGGGCCTCCTCCCTCCCAGCCATCCCTCCATCCGGCAGGAGTTCCTAATGAGGCCCCCCGGAGGCCCTCCACGGCTCCCTCCAGGGTGCCCCTGGAAGCCTCGGGAAGCCTCCCCTGGGGTTGAGGGGGGGGGCGGGACGGGGGCAGAAAGGCAATGACAGCGACGACAACAAACGTACATGGCTGCCAGCGTGGACCCCAAGCAGCGCCTCTTTGCACTCTGGACGTGCGGGCTGTGCAGTGCAGGCTGTGCCGTGCAGGCTGCGTGGTGCAAGCTGTGTGGCGCAGGCTGTGGTGCGAGCTGTGTGGTCCAAGCTATGTGGCGCAAGCCATGTGGTGCCACCTAGAGAAAAAAAGGGGGATAACAAAAGACAAAACAACAAAAAACAAAACAACAACAACAAAAAACGCCGTGAACACAAACTTTTGACGCTCCGCGTCGATTTCTTGGATCCGCGCTTGGCCCCCCTGGCGGCGCCTCCGGCGCCCTCCCTGGCGCGCTCCGCGCGCCAGGGAGGGGGGCCCAGCGCGGCTCCAAGAGATCGGCGCGGAGCGCCAAAAGTTTGTGCTTACCCTGAGATCCTGGCGTTGCAATTTTTTTGCGACGGGCGTTTTCGCTTGACTTCGGGCCCCGGGACCCTCACAGATCGATCGGGCTCGAAAAACGACGCGGAAAGATGAGGTCCGGGTCTCCGGGCGTGATTGCTGCGATGTTGCAACTGTTTTGCAGCGTCGGATCTTTGTGCTTACGGCGTTTTTGTTCCTCTCCTCCGCACTGTGTGGTGCACGCCCCGCCAGCGCACGGGGCGCCCTCGAGGCGCCCGCGGCCAGGCACCCGCCGACCCCCCCCCCCCCCAAAAAAAAAAAGGAGAGGTCCCGGCCGGCGCACGGGGCGCGCCCTCGCGAGGCTCCCACGGCCGGGCGCCCGCCGGGAGCCCGGGGAAGCCTGCCAGGGCGCAGAGGGAGGAGGAGGAGGAGGAGGAGGAGGAAGAGGAGGAGGAGCGCAGATGAGGAGGAGGAGGAGCGCAGAGGAAGAGGAGGAGGAGGAGGAGGAGGAGGAGGAGGAGGAAGAGGAGGAGGAGCGCAGATGAGGAGGAGGAGGAGCGCAGAGGAGGAGGAGGAGGAGGAGGAGGAGGAGGAGGAGGTGGAGAGCAAGGACCCCCGAGTGCTGGCACCGAGTGGGGAAGAGGAGCTCGATCCCTCCACAGCCCCGCTCGCCCCCCTCCCCCGCCCCCGTACCTCTCTCTCTCTCTCTCTCTCTCTCCGCGCCCATCTCTTCCCCTGCCCCCCTCCCCCCTCCCCCCGCGGCGCTCCTCCCTTGACGCGGGCGTGAAGTCGCCCTTCAGCCCGCAGACCCCGAAGAGGAAGTTCCTCATCATCTGATTGCCGTTGTCGGACAGGTCTACCTCGGGGTGGAACTGGACGCCTGCCCGCCGAGCGGGTCGCGGCGGGGAGAGGCAGGGGTGGAGACAGGGAGGGAGAGGTGGAGGGAGGAGGGAACGAGAGAGGGGGAGGGGGAGGGGGAGGGGGAGGGGGAGGGGAAGGGGGGGGGGGGGGGGGAATGGGGAGAGGGGGGAAGGGAGGGAGGGAGGGAGTGCGCGGGACTGCTGCCCCCACGCGTCTTGCCCGGGTGGACTCTCGCCTGAAAGATGAGGGCGCACCTAGGCATCGGACGGGGAGGAGGAGGAGGAGGAGGAGGAGGAGGAGGAGGACGAGGAGGAGGAGGAGGAGAACGAGGACGACGACAACCACATCAATGAGCTGGCCTGGCCTCCTGGAGGACCCTCGTCGAGGGCGGTTGGGTCACCCTCGAAATCGTAGCCTCAATGCGCTCCAGGCCAGATTGGGAAAAGGCACGAGGTCGAAGGTGGTTCCCTTCCCTGCTTCGCCTTATCCATCTTCCTCCTCGTCCTCATCCTCATCATCCCCATCCTCATCCTTTCCCCTCCCCCCCCGCACACCCCGTTCATCCCTGCCCCCCCCACCTCCTCTTCGCCCAGCTCATCCACATACAAATCCTCCTCATCAACATCAACACCACCATCACCATCACAATCACCATCACCATTAACGTCACCATCACCATCATCATATGCATCATCATCGTCATCATCAGCAGCAGCACCACCACCATCACCATCACCTTCACATTCACCATCACCATCACCTTCACCATCACCATCACCATCATCATCATCATCATCAGCATCATCATCAGCATCATCATCATCATTTGCAGCAGCAGTAGCATCAACAACAACATCAACATCATCACCACCAGAACCGTCATCGGCATTACAATCATCATCACCATCATCACTGTGACCATTTCCACCAGCATATTCACCATTAGCATCATCATGCTAATGATGATTTGCGTTATGATCATCATCCTCATCATCATCACCATCATCTCCATCATCAACATAATTGCCATCGTCATCGTCATCGCCATCATCACCCTTCATCTAGACTCTCGTTGTCATCGCCACCGCCACCACCATCATCCTCGACACAATAATCACCCTTACCAGCAGCCTCACCACCACCACCATCCTCCCCATCTTCCTTTTCTTTCTCGCCCCAGCTCAGATCCCAGTTAAGAGAACCGCACTACGGTGCAAATAGTTGCCCAGAGTCGCCCAGTATAGCTTAGCGAATTATCCCAATCGAATGGTGATGAAAATTGCCAGCTTCCCCACTGAGGGAAGGGGAAGCCCTCTATGCGAAGCTTCAGCCATGAAGCATCAGCGATCAAGGAGAAGGAAGACGAGGAGCAGAGAAGAAGGCGCACCAAGCAGCCAGGAGCAACGCACTGGCAAAATTACCATAGGCGAGCCGAAACACGAACCCGTGCCCCAAAGTCGGTCAAAAAGTACAACTGTCTCGCAGAACGATCAGTTCAGCCGTAAACGAAAGTACGGCAACTGATATGCAAATGCAGCTTCCCGCCAACACAAGTTTCTGCATCACTTTGTCCGTATCCCCTTGAGCTCCCAACAACCACGCTGCAGCCGATCCAGCGTGCCGACGTCACAACGTATGATGGAAGTCGCTTCAGAGAAGTCAGCGCACCTTCTCCCAAGAACTTTGGGCGTCCATCGTCACATTAACAAGGTGCTCGGCGATCTTGTTGTCGCCCCGGCAGCGCCACAATATCAGGCCATGATTTGCTCGAACAGGTTGGATGCCCCTCGAAGTGAGATGCGCTAAGATCCGCGTTACTCTTCTGAAGATGGGCTGCAAGAATGTATCCGTAAGCGGGCATACTCACACAGAAACGTTGACAAAAAGCTTGCATTCACAGATGCGGGCAAATATGCTACTTCAGTTTCCCATGTAATCTTCTCGGCTGGCGCGTTGCTATCCGAATGGTCGCGTGGGCCACTCTGAAACGTGTTATACATGCATCGTGAAATTCGCGTGCCAATACGATTGGAATCAGCAAGTGCAGTTCTGCTGTGTGGCCCTAGATTGGGCAGCCCAAACCCTTCTTATACATCTGCCACGAATTGCCCGAACCGTCTCGTCTCCTCCAACGCACTTGCGTGGGAGAACTGACACACAGGCTGCACCAGTCAATGCTCGTAGATCGCAAAAGAGATCTTCCCGATGCGTGCATGTGCCAGCGAACGGATGAAACAGGTTATCCTTTTTGCGCTGATTCAGACCGTACCCATTACTGCGATGTAGCATCTCCCACCAGAGCCGAGTGCGGAAGCACCATGATATTGTTAAATGATTGCCATCTCCAAGACTAAGGGTACGATATCTCTCTCCACGCGTCTTTGCACTCTGGTCGTAAACCTCGAACGTACAAAAGCATCACGTTGGACAGTTTGACATACCTGATGACCAGCAATGGAATACGATGGTTGAAGTGCATGTGAGTCTCGTGGGACATCTTTCGAAGGAAACTCCGCTCCCAGACCGTCAACCTGGCCAGGGCCGACTGGACAGATGTCAAGAGCTGGAACCGAAGCTGGCCGATGATGACGGTCCCCTTCTCCACGCCTGCAGCTTGCTCCAGACCGATCCCGCTCCTCGAAACATACGGGCAGGCTTCCAGTGGCAACATCGCCCCCGACATGTCCAAAACCTTCACCCACTTGAAAATGCACCCGCTTGCAAATGACCTCCTTCTCCTCCTCCTCCTCCTCCTCCTCCTCCTCCTCCTCCTCCTCCTCCTCCTGCTCCTCATCCTCCTCCTCCCCGCAGCTGCAGGACAAGCGCCAGATCATAAGTGACACCTTCATGCACGTTATCATCATCATCACCACCATCATCATCATCATCAGCATCCTCATCAGCTCCATCATCACCATCATCAGCATCATCATCGTCATCATCAACATCATCATCATCATCATCATCATCATCATCATCATCATCATCATCATCATCATCATCATCATCATCATCATCATCATCATCATCATCATCATCATCATCATCGTCGTGGTCGCCGTCGTCGTCGTCGTCGTCATCGTCATCGTCGTGGTCACCTTCGTCGTCGTCGTCATCGTCATCGCCATCGCCATCCTCACCGTAACAGTCATCATCATCCTGATTGCCGCCATCATCACAATCATCATCCTGAACCTCACCATCGTCCTCATCAACATCCCACTTCACCCCTCACCCTCGTCCCTGACGATGACGTCGACGGCGACGTCGACGGCGACGACGACAATAGCGAGGACGTCGGCGGCGGCGACGACGACGACGATGACGGCGACAACGACGACGACGGCGGCGGCGACGACGGCGACGACGACGACGACGGGACCCCGCCCCCGCCGAAGAGCTTCTTCTCGTCGCAGCCGATGCCGGCGCACAGCGCACCGCTGCGGGCGATGGTGCGGAAACCGGGGGCGACCTGGCCACGGCGAGAGGGGCAGGGGGCGAGGGGAGAGAGGATAGGGAGGGGAGCGGGAGGGACGAGGGAGGAAGAACGAAGGTCTGTGGGTCCTGTCTCTCTCTCTCTCTCTCCCTCTCTCTCTATCGTCACTTCTTCCCCTCCCCTCCTCCATCCGTGTTCCCTCTACACAACTCCCCCCTGTCGCACGCCCACGCTTTCCGGCAGGGCGGCCAGGCGTTTCGCCCAAGTCTCCCTCACCACTGGTGACCCTGAAGGATGGAGGGCGGGTCGTTCTCAAAATGTGGCTCTCGCACTAACGCCACGCACATTCGTCTTAAAGGTTGCGACAGCTTCAAAGATGGAGAGCAGGTCGATTCAAAAATGTGTTGATCTCGTGGGCGCCTCGCGCATTCCTCTTGAAAGCCTAGAACCGTTTCAAGGATGGAGAGCGGGTGATAATTCAAAATGTGGCTCTCACCTTAGCGTCGCGCACATGTGTCTTGAAAGTTTGAAACAACTGCAAGACTGGAAGGCTGTTCTTTTCCGGTGGTTCCCGCCTTAGCTGCGCGCGCACTCTCCTCAAAAATCCTACAATGTTCAAAAGGTGGACGTAAGGTTGAAGCCCCAGGGATGGTGTTAAGGCACGGCTCAGGGCTGTCATGACGCAATACACACGTTGATTCGCAGTGCTCAAGTCCCACGAACGGTGTTCTGCTACGACTTATGACTGTCAGGGCGCAACAGTCATATTGATCCGCAACGTTGAAATCCCAGGAACGGCGTTTAGGCACGATTGGGGATGATCTGACGGTTATCTTCCACGGGACCTACGAGAGGGAACTTGGAAGGAGGGTTTACTGCAACATCGTTGATACGTTTTGCGGGTGAAACGTGTCATCCTGCTCCTTCTCCTCCTTCTCCTCCTCCTCCTCCCCCTCCTCCTCGTCCTCCTCCTCCCCATCATTAGCATCATTATCATCATCATCATCATCATCATCATCAGCAGCAGCAGCAGCAGCAGCAGAATCATTGTGTGTTTCCTCCTCCTCCCCCTCTTCCTCCTCTTCTTCCTGCTCCTCATTATCAGCATCACCGTCATCGTTATCCTCCTTCTCCTGCTCCTTGTTCTCATCCTCCTCCTGCTCCTCCTCCTCCTCCTCATCCTCCTCTTCCTCCTCCTCCTCCGCCTCCTCCTCCTCCTCTTCCTCCTCCTCCTCCCTCTCCTCCTCCGCCTGCTCCGCTTCCTCCTCCTCCTCCTCCTCCTCCTCCTCATCATCATCATCAGCATCATCATCAGCATCAGCATCAGCATCAGCATCAGCATCAGCATCATCATCATCATCATCATCATCATCATCATCATCATCATCATCATCATCATCAGCATCATCATCATCATCATCATCATCATCATCATCATCATCATCATCATCATCATCATCATCATCATCATCATCATCATCATCATCATCATCATCATCATCATCATCATCATCATCATCATCATCATCATCATCATCATCATCATCGTCATCATCATCATCATCATCATCATCATCATCATCATCATCATCATCATCATCATCATCATCATCATCATCATCATCATCATCATCATCATCATCATCATCATCATCATCCGTTTCCTCCTGCTCCTCCTCCTGCTCCTCCTCCGCCTCCTCCTCCGCCTCCTCCTCCTCCTCCTCCTCCTCCTCCTCCCCGCCTTCCTTGTCCTCCTCCTCCTGCTCCTCCTAAAGTTCGGCCTTCGTTGTCTCCTATCCACCTCCATTCACTGTCCATCCTCCTTCCGCCTTCTTTTCCTTCTCTTCATCGTGCTCGTCTTCCGCGCGCGGTTCGCCTTGTCCACGCTGTCGCCGTGCGTGAGCAGCACGCGCTGCTTCGCGCTCATGCCAGCAAAGATAGGGCAGTCAGTCTCCACCTGGCGCTCCAGTGGCGACCGAGCAAGCAGATGGCCCAGGGCCACGTCGACGACGACGGAAGCGAGCTGGCGCGGCCGAAGGGGGGATGTTAGGAGCGAGAGGGACGGACGACGGGCGTGCCGCCGCACGCGCTGGCGCGGCGCAAGGGGGGGGGGAGGGCAGGGGACGAGGGGAGCGGACGACGGACGGGCAGCTGCATTTGCAAGGTGGCAGCAGGAGGAAGGAGGGGGAAGAGGAAGGGGAGGAGCGCTGAGAGGGAAGGAGGTGGGAGCAAGGGAAGGCTGGAGGGGGAGGAGGAGGAGGAGGAGGAGGAGGAGGAGGAGGAGGAGGAGGAGGAGGAGGAGGAGGAGAAGGAGGAGAAGGAGGAGGAGGAGGATGGGGGGGGAGGGGGGGGGGAGAGGGGTGAGGGGGGATTTCTGTCACATCAACCATGCACTTCCCCTCTGGTCGGCCCAAACCAGCGCCGCCACCACGAAGCCTGGTAGGAAGAACACGAAGACCCAGAGAAAGCACTGGACCCAGCCCTCGTCAACGCCGTCGCCGAAGGGAAGAACGACGAGGCCCACCTCGAGAACCGCGACAAGCATGACCAGCGAGCCGCGGTGCGCGTGGCGTACTGATCCCGAGAAGCCAGCCCGAATGTCACGCAGCACCGTGGGGCGCACGACCACACGAAACAGCCGGTATACCCAAGCCGACTCGAAAGCGGACCCCTCCTCGCCTGACGGGCGCCCAGGCGGCGCGCGGGCTCCCGCCTCTCAGCGGGAAGTCCGTTTCGGGGTCGAGGCCGTAGTGGTCGACGAACTGTGAACCGCCTTCCAAGGCGGACTCGGCGAAGTCCGCGCCGAGTTGGTCGAGGATGGAATCGCTGGCGGGGACGCAGCCAGGGCGCGCACTTCGAACCTCGCCCAACGCCTGTCGATGGGCCTGCATCCCCCAACAAAACTCCGAAGCAGGACTCGAATCAGCAAGTCCGCCCACCAAGCGGCGAAACCTGCTCTTCTTCCCCCTTCACATTGCTGCCCGGCCGCGCAACTCCATCCGCGCCACCACCCCCATGCGCCCGGTCGGAAACCACCGCCCCATCGAATCGTGGACTCGCGAGGGAGGCCCCCAGCGCCGCGACAAAGCCCGGGCGCGCCCTGGACAACGCAGGAGCAGCAGCTCGCGGGCTCGCGAGGGAGGCCCTCCGCCCCGCGGCTGAACCAAAATATGCGCGAGACACCTCAGGAACAGCAGCACGCGGTGTCACGGGGAAGGCCCCCCCACCCCCGCGCCGCCTCCAGGGCGCGCGCCAGCGACGCCAGGAGGGGCAAAACCAGCCACCTGATAGTTGCACGAAGTGTCCGATCGGAGGAGCTTGTACTTCTTGGTCTTGATCTCGTCGCCAAGGCCTTGCCAGCCGTCGCCGCCCGAAACGCCAACATGGAGGTCGATACCAAGGTGGGAACTGCATGTCGTTTAGCGGCTGTTGGTCGGGGTCCACAAGCCGAAGACCCTGGTCACCCCCAGGGTCGGCATGCGCGCCCGCCTCCGATCGGAGGAACGCGCACTCATCGATCCGCGCCCTGCTGCCCGACCGCGGCGCGTCGACCGCACCAGCGCCGCCAGCGTCGAGAGGAGCCGCGCCACCGAGCGGGGCCCCGGCGCTCGACGCGCATGCTCGCCGCAGCAGCAGTGCTCCGCTTCTGCTGGGCGACGCAACGCTTCTGGGCCGCGGGGTGAAATATGATTACCACCTTGCCGTGAGCGAGCAACGACATATGTACATGTACGCCCTCCGCGGTCTTGAGTGCACGAACGTCCTCGTTCAAACGCCCTCCAGGGGAAGCTAACCGCGTACGTGTACATATGTTGCTGGCCTCTGATGCCGTGCCCCGCCCTGTCGCGCACGCTGCAGCGCAGCGCGTCGCGGGCCGCGCAGCCGGGGGTCGGCGGCGTCGGCGCGCGGAGGCCCGTGAAAGCGACAGCATCAGGGTCACGGTCGCGCACACGCACGCCACCAAAGGCAGCCATGGGCCACGGATTCGTCTTCTGGCAGTCGCTGTGGGCAACCAGCGGGCTGAAGGTCATCGCGAGCATCATGGCCTTCTTCGCGTGGAAGCTCTCCGCCACCAGCGGCAGCACCGAGATCGTGATCGAGCACTTGTACACCTCCAGGGGCAGCAGCAACCGAGTCGCCCACGCGAGGCTGCCGTTGGCCACCAGCTACCCGAAGGTCAGTGCGAGCACCAGGAACGGGTTCAGCACCATCAGCGGCAGCATCATCATCGAAACCCAGCCGCCGGTAACCACGAGCGGGCCGAACGAGCATCGGGGCATTCTTCGCGCGAGGGGGGTCGTTCGCCACCAGCAGCAGCACCAGAAACGTGCTCGTGCGCTCATGCGCTATGGGCAGCAGCCGCGGGATCGTCCACGCGAAGCCGCCGTTGACCACCAGCGGGCTGGAGGTCTTCACGAACATTACGAACGGGTCCAGCTCGATCGACGGCAGCATCCACATCGAAATCCTCCTGAAGCTGAGTACCTGAAGCAGGTGGATGGCAAGCAGAAGAGCGCTGGCAACCTACAGGGCGAGCGGGAGCAACAACAGTAACATGGAACACTCTTTCAGCTGCACCTGGGAAAAAAACACTGGCGTCTCGTCGTGCGGTCGCTCACCAGCATCCTGAATACCGTCTGGTCGAGAGCGGCAGCATCACGTTCAGCAGGGCCCAGCATCTCGAAAAGATCTAACGCGTTGCGTCCGTCAGTCCGCGCCTGCCACCGCGAGGAAGACAACAACAGAGCAGCGGACAAAGATGGGGACTCTGCCGCAATCCGAGCGCGCTCCTTCGAGGCCGCCTCGAACGAGGCATCAGTCAAGTGAGAGTACCAACATTAGTCGCCGAACCTGCAGAGAGGAAAGCAGCGGCACGCAGTCCGCGCAGCGATGCGAGGGCCTACGTCTAGCACCTCGAGGCAGAAGAAGTCTCGAGCATGCGCCTGGGCCCCTGAGGCTCTGCATCGGGAACTCCAGGGAGAACAACCAGAAGAGCAGGGAAGGCGGCGCAGACTTCCGTGAAGGCAACACCACCATCCCGAGCCACGCCTCCAGCGGCGCGGGGGTCCCCTTCACCTTCATAGGGTGCGCCAGGGGCGTCGCAACGACCATCTCCAGCGTCAGGTGGGTGGTCATCCG